ACAAATTAGTTAGCATAAATCAGTTAAATGACGAAAAATTAGGTGTCTATTTACTTGTGACCACTCAGTGGATATTACATTTGAGCATAATTAGCACACAGACTGGGCCATGTATAAAGTGAGACACGTATGTACTGACATACACGCACCACCATCTATACATTACATATTAATGCATGTTTACCGTAGATGATGTCACAGTTTAATGTGAAGTATGATAAACGTACAAACCAATATCAGACCAGTATCAGTCGAAACTTCTACGTGCGCTAAACACATATATATGGCTTTCAAGCACCAACTAACATTTACTTCATTTGTGTCATGAAAAGTAATCATTGACAGAAATAAGCAGAAAAGTCAGTTCCTGACATAACCATCCATCCCAATCACATTTCATATCGTCAAGTGTAGGATACACACAGCCTGTTGTACTAAAAAATACCAGAAATGACATAGAAAAATTATTTGCATCATAATATCACATACTCAGCCCAAATCCCCATATTTTTTCTACTGGCGCTGCCATGTAGGGGTCGAACAATGTACTATATCATATAAGCACAAATATATCTCTAATAAATATTCACCTAAATGATACACAAGCATTTTCTGCCGAAATTCATCACAAAACTTAACCTGAATGTTCTAATAGAAAGTACTGCAAAGTAATTTCAGCATATTGGTTTGTCAGCGCTACAATTCATTATAAACATAAATTTCCTAGGTGCTTATCCAATAAACTTATCTTCTTAGCTGTGTATATAACGGGTATCACATAGTCTGCTATGCAAAAATATCACACCTCTCTAGGTAGATTGAACAATTATTGCATACCTCAGACCAGTGCCTCATTGCTATAGATGTTCGATAACTCCATATAGGAAGAGCCGTAGCACCTGTCAGCTGTTGATTTATCAATCCATAAACTGTGTCGTAAAGAAGCTGCTAGCACAGGATGTTTCGAAGACTGTTACATGAATGTTGCCATCAGCTGAGTAAAGATTATACTATATAGTCTTCTCGTTATCAGATTCAATCTTCTCATACATCTCTGATTCTTGAAGTTCTCAAGTGGCTCATTAATAACGTAGAAATTAATCTTGCTCAAACGCACTGTCATGTATATTGTAACCACTATAACTTATAATTACCTCATTGATTTGTCAAGGAAATATATACAAATCAATGAAGCCTTAACCGAATTGTGTGCATACTATAGGCATATACCAAACGAAAGTCAATCACTAGACTCCAACCCTCATTCTAATAATTTTCTTTTTTGTAGCGTCTCTTTGTACATATGACCACTTTATCCACTTGCTATCAACTATTGTAGAATCCGACAAATCCATATGTTACTGTGAACACTACAATACTTCTATACTTGGAGGAGATCTATACATCAGAACCACTAAAAGCTGTAGGTTTTGACGGTCATTCAGAGAACAGTAATTTCACTTTTGCTCTATTGCATGATATACCACCATGAAATAGAATAGGTGCTTATCATACTTAACAAACATCAAAAATTTATTCAATATCACAGACTGAGGACGATATGTTGAAGTGCATCTATCTTCTCTGTGCTTCGCTGACCACATATTTATAATCTATTCTCGTTCTAGATATTTCGCAAAGCCTCTCGTTTGTTAATATTCCAGACTAACGTGATACACCCTCTAGCTAACACCTAAGTTATTATAAATATATTTTATACCAATATATTGATTAAGTTTGAAATAGATAATAACAACACAACTATTTTGAAGTTTTCTACTGTGCAGTGATGCTGTAAACTTATCTTAGCTCAAGTTCCACAATTTTATCAAAAACAAATCCTTAATTCTTTTCAAGAAAATAATGCATGAATGATCAACTCACGTTGCTTCTTTTAGCTACAAATTGATGTAAAAAAATATCATGCATGTATAAAGTGACTGGAAAAGCACCTGAAAACATCATTAAAGACGAGAGTATGATTTTAAATTTTCAAAAGTTGAGTGTGAAAGCCTATTTTAGGCGAGAAATCTGTAATTATCACACTATGTGCATGATACACTAATCACATAGCCAGGTTTATAAGTTACAAAATCCTAGTATAGGGCATTTATAGAAACTGTATTTAAAACGTAAGTCTTTCATGTTTCAGTTCATCTACATCATTGCCAAATACATATTATTAGTAGCTAAGATTATTTTTACCATACTGAGGGAAATGGTTGCATAACTTGCCGTTAGCAACTTTCAACAGAAGCTACAACAGATATATATATTTAGAAAGTTATAGTTTTGAAACAAGCCTGCCGTCAGGTATATGCAATTCTCAACTAAGTACTCTAATGTTCAATAAAAACAACGGAGCAAGAATTTAGTAAATAATCGGGCGAATTGGCTAAAAAACATTGCCTAAGTGATACAATAGTCAAAGACATCCTCAACCGAAAACAGCTTG